ATATATATATATATATATATATATATAAAATCAATTATATTGATAATATATATAATCAATTATATTGATAATATATATTATCAATTATATTGATTGAATCTTCATTTTACTTACTCATTTCTTTGTTCTATTAATTACTGAGATACAGATATTAAAATATTTTTACTCTGAGTTGCATCTGGCTATTTCACCTTGTGGATATATGTGCCTTATAGATAGATATATAAGAAATATTTGGCCTTTGTCCCTCTTCCTGGCAAAGAGCTCCTAAAACTCTTGGAATTTCCTGATTGATAGGGATGTCTTTTACTTTGAATTTATGACTTAGGATGAGGACCCTAGTTAGCCTTAGAATGTGGCTGGTCATCAGAAAGACCACATGACTAGAGGACTGGAAACTTTAGCCCCATTTACTGTTCTTTGGGGAGGGCAGAGAGGGATGGAGATTAAGTACTATTAAAAAGTTGAACAAGGTTATTTGGGGAGGTTCTGTGTTGGTGAACACATTGAGGTGCCAGGAGGGTGGTGTGTTAGGAGAGGGCATGGAAACTCTGTGCCTTCCTGATCCCCCACCCCCCATGAACCTCTTCCATTTGGCTGTTCCTGAGAGGTATCCTGTATAGGAAACTGGCAGTAGTACATACACCACTTGCATATTACTATGGGCAATATTTGGAAGGACGAACATTAGAATAGTAATGTTTCTTTCTGGATGTTGCAGTTTCTATGAATTTTTTCACTTTTCATATCTGTCTGAATTTTTCTATAATATTTGTTATGTAATTTAGACAAGAAGGCTATCTTCTTACTCATTACATTTGTATGAATCATGTGTAAACAAATGACTAAGAACAGATAGCTTATTTGTCAGTGCAATCGTATTATTTTATGCTTGGACTGTGTTTATTGCTATTATTGCCTCTTTTTCTCTCTAAAGACATTATCCCCATTGTGCTTGGCTTAGGATTTTTTTTGTCAAAGTAAATTATACTTTAAATTCATTAGAGACTTTGAATCAGGGCCTCCAAGGACTTTTTAAAGTAGTTTTCAGCATGCGTGTTTGGATGGAGGAAATAAACAGGGTCATAAGTGTAAAAACATGTTTGTCCAGAGAAAATCAGAACACCTACTTTTGCAGAGCTAGAGAGGCTTCTGAACTCCTCCTTGCTCTTTAAAGTTTATTATTTTCCTTCCAGTTTCCTAGCATAGAAATGTTTCCCAATTTTAAATTAGAATAGTATTTTTTACAAATTCAGAAACCATGTGTATACATATATGGTTAATATAGGTTCTTGGGGGGCCAGGGATTAGGAATATCCTTAGCTGATACTATTAGTATGTTTTTGCTCAACTCTGAGGCTCACTAAGGTCATTTGAGGTATAGCTTCCTGGTGATACA